TGGCGTAATTTTTGAGATAGCTTCTCATTTCGAACGCGTCTAGGCCTAACTAAAGGATCGATGTAAATAAATCGGCAACATATTTTTTTGCGTTTGGTGCGTGGTTCATATTTATTTGCATTTATTATTAGTAAAATAAACTCGTGACAAGGTCTCGCGCGGTGGTATATATAGGCAAACGTTTTCTTTTCCTTTTCACTGTCTTTAACTTAACAACCATTCGATTGGTGGCGCCACCGTCCCAGCTGGGGCACGTTAACGACGTAAACGCTATCCCGCTAAACTATAAAGCGCTGTCCACAACGAACGTTTGCTGCACGGTAACGGAATTCCCTTTACCTCCGCTATCCCGTTAACCGTAAACTATAACTGTCTACTACCTGCGCGTGCTTTTAAGGCTACACCGTGCCAGTGTTATAACGCAGTTGCGGAGTTCGTGTTGACGAGAACAGGAAAACGCACAATGTGTCTTCGTGCGTTTGATGTGCTCTCATAATTTAGTCTTTCAATGCACACAGACTGTCGGAATGGCAGCAGCTGCGCATGGCTTTTGGTGAACTGCTTTTATGCGCCTGTTCCTTGTGTGGCTGATAATTTCTGCGTGATCTCTCTGCTCTTGTTGTTTGTGGTGTTTTCGAGATTTTTTGCTGACCTTGAACGCACTTGGAACCGGTGATGCAATAGTCCGATGCGTTCGACTGTTTAAAAATTTCTTTCGCAAGAGCTGAATTGCCGTTTGCGATGACAGTGGCAATGGGGCATGGATATGTATGGCGTATGTGGCATAATTATTCGAAACCTTGATTTTTCGCTGCCTGTGAACGTTGCTAATTGAATCATGACATGCTCTACATAGCTTTAAAAACCTCTAGTTTCGACATTTATCTAATACAATGGCGTCGGGGAAGTAGTTTGTCCACAACTGTATCAGGTTAACGGGAAAATATCGAGTGCAGAAACAAGACATTTACAAGAACGAGATATGCAGGACGGGCGCTATATAGCCTCCGTCCTGCGGGTCTATCTCGCTCCTGGGAATGTCTTCGTTTTTGCGCCCAAAATTTTTCCTTTAGCTATGCACCATCTCGCCGAATTTTAAGTTTTGTTAAACCACGTATCAGGCTAGTTGGCTGAATAGTTTGTTTCTTGTGGGGAACTATATAGTTGTGATGCTCCTCCAGTGTTGTCCGGATTTTACTATCCGTAGTTAATTGTTTGTGCACTGTTAATGTAATTGACTTACTGCCAGAAATTTCGAGGAGTACAGTAACGTACAACATTCGTCCTCTTCTGTTACGGTGATTGCTTGTTCTTTTCTTCCATTTCTTTTTTTTAACGCCGCGTTTGCTTGGCCAGTATGTTATTAAGCATCCGAATACTCGGGCTTTGTGCGAATACAACGCTTTTGTCAAACGGAGGTGGTGTCTTTCACCATGAGCACGCGTTAGCCTTCCTTACCTGTCATAGGCTTGTCTTATCTGCAGTGGTTTCCTTTGGAATGAAGAACGTGCCGCTTATCTATGAATAGCGCGAGAAACCTTGGCCACCATAGCACGACGCGCGTGGTTTTTAGAGGTTGGTTGTCACGGGAGCGATTGCGCACTGGTTGAGCGCTGGTGCCAGTTTTATGCAACGTAAACGGTGAACATTGCCTAAAGGCCACGTACCACGGTGTTTCCCTCTTGGACAAGAACGCTGATTGCCCCCTGTTGTGCTCGCACTTTAACGAATCCGCGCATGCGCAACCTCTAAGATGGTTCCGCTGTCACGGCTGACAAAACCTTGACAGGTGCGGAGTTATTCTGTATAATTGCTTAGTCGGGTTCACAAATTGACCGCTTTTTTTTCTACTCAATTCGGCTTATGTCGAACAGGTTACCCTTTTTTTAAATCTTGCTATTAAACGTTGTAATCGTTACGTCGAAACACACACAAAGAGGTTTGGTTCGTGCAGAATGCCTAACAAGAACGATGAAAGGTCGGGTGTTCGGCCAGGCCGGCGGCTTATTGCTTGGAGGTGTTACAGACGGATTAAATGTAGACCTGAGCAAGTTCACGGAAAGTGTGTGACAGTCACATCGGGGGTTGTAGCGTCGCAAAACTGGCACGATGCGCCATCGGTCGCTTCAATCAAGCGAACGGGAAATTTGTGTGGAACGCCACAGTTCAGCATTCCTTTGATGGTATAGGTCTATATTAAAAAAAAAAAACGAAAAACAACGAAATGAAACTTTGAGAACGTTTGAGCTTCTTCGCCTTCAAGCGCAGAACGCGATAGCGTATTCGGGACCTCTGTGCATCGCCTTCTCAGTCGCTAGCCTGGTCTCGTTTCTCGGCGCACTCCTCAACCGTGTCGTATATGAGAAAACGAACTACCGTGTGCGTAACACTGGCCGTTTCAAGTCGTCCTAGAATGCCCTAGTACATTAATTGTTCTCTGCGCCATAACTCTTTTGCGAATCAGCGAAGGGCCAAAACTACTCGTTGATAACGTGAACTTACGCAGCTGATCGATTTCTTGATGCTGTTGCGACTGATGATGATGAATACGAGCACTATGAGTAGCGGGTGGGCTTTTAAAAGACCAAGTCGTCGCGCAATCCACATCTTCTGACGCCCTGCGTGATTCTGCGCTTTTGCCACGCTATATTACATTCGTTAAGGATACTCCTTCCACAGAGTCCACCTCGGTGGATCAGTGGCTATATATAGCGTTCTCGGCGGCTGGCTCGCAGGTCGCGGGTTTGATCTCCGGCCGTCGCATTTCGATAGAGGCGAAATGGGGGAGGCCCGTGTATACTGCGAGATGTCGGCGCACGTCAGAGCATCGCTTACGCTACCGTTAACTCCCCTCCCTTTTTTTTAAAGAAAATGGGTCTAAAATCCTCTCCCCTAACGAAAACCGGTGACGTCATGGTGGCGGGACTGGGCGTTTGACGGCTGTGGGAATGAGCACGCCAGATGGTCAAAATGTTTGGAGTCTTCCACTACGGCGTCCCTCATAATTATATCGTGGTTTTGTGATGTAAACCACACATATTATTAATGATATTATTATTATTATTATTATTATTATTATTATTATTATTATTATTATTATTATTATTATTATTATTATTATTATTATTATTATTTCCACTACATGACATTCGTATAGGGTTTTTTTTTTTTCGAAGCCGTTTCGAACAATTGTGGGGCTCTGTGGTAGAACACCTGCTAGCCACGTATACTCCCGGGTTCGATTCTGACTCAAATCTAAGTTCTCATGTGTTGGCGGCCACATGAAACTGTCTCGCGGGCCGTATGTTTTCGGACCCTGGTCTAGAAAATAATTCCAGCTCCTTGATGCTTCAAACCTGAGGAGAGGAATACATGCGGCTGGTGTATTTTGGGCAATGCATGGCGGGTGCCACTTTAGCTCTTTGCCTTTTTTTTTTTTTCGTCGTGGTATTTCAGCTTTCTCACCATCTTTCTTATTACACGTGCCGTCTGGTGAGCGCACCGCGTCGTTTCACGGACCTTGCTTCGACATATAGCCGTACGCACGATGGTTTTTGTTTTTTTTTTTTTTCGCATCACGTCATCAGGCTTGCTCTGCAGCGCCAGTCTCGTGCGGACGTTTTGGTTATCGTGCCCTTCGCATGGTCGTCTCCTGCTAGACTCGATTGCGGTGTTAATTGCTCCTGCGCTGTCGCGTGCCGGTAGTTTAACAACAGTATGTATGCAGGGGGGGGGGGTGTTTTACGGCTATCCGTGATGGTTATCTCCCTTCCCTTTCCTGCCCCCCCCCCCCATATACAGCCTTCGCATTGGTCGTGTGCGTCTCTGCACGCGTCGCTGTAGGTACGTAGACGGCGGAGGCGGCGGCGACATATATCTCCTTCCTCGTCCCTTCGACATTCACATATGCGCATACTGTAACCCTCTCGTAAGTGGTACCCATCATTTGACGCCGTATCTGACTTTTTTTTTCGTCGTTTATTTTGCGGGAAGCTAGTCTTAATGGCCTGATTACACGCCCTACCTTGTGAAAATGGAGCTTGTCCGACAGTTCGTCAGACACTGTATGTAGGTTGGACTCGGAGGGTGGTAAGTCGGAGAACAGTCGCCGCTCTTTCTTTCTTTAGTCTGAGAATGGCGCATATATTGAGCTTCTGTGAAGGAAACGTTCTTTGTCCGCCCGTGTTCTTCGCAGTGTTATCACTGCGTTTCTCGGAGAATCACTATTTAAAGACTTGCGTCGCTGAAGGGTTCCTGTTCGGGGAAGTTGGTGTTTCATACTGCACTGCAGAATACTAAAGCAAGATATATTACACATACGTGAGTATGTGTGCCGTGGTTCTTATACGTGTCGCGCTAATACATGCCGCAAATACGTCAGTGCTGCCCCGCTATTCTCTTGGCATCTGTGCGCGCAAACGCCTTCCCTGCGGCATCCTTCTTTATCAAAAGGCCGATGGCTTGACGAATGCGGCTTTAGATACTTCCATGTAGTTTGCCGGTCTGTGCGTACGTGTCGCTTAGCTTCTCCGTCCCGTACTCAGGACGCATAGCACCGCGGATGTTACGTCGTGTGAAAGTGTTCCCCCTGTTGACTTATGGATCTCAACCCTTTTTCACGCGTGGCTACCATACTGGCGTTGCAGTTTTGTGAAAAAATTGATGTACCTTTCCTGCGTTTAATTGCGTTCGCTCGTCACATATATGTTAGTATAACAGGTTGAAAATAGCAACGCTTTGTGTCCAGCCACGTGACTGGCGCGTGCGTCCACCGCATCGTTTCCTTGTGGTCCTCGATCGTTACTAGATTTCTTAACTATAGGTGCTCGGTAAAGATCCCCAGGTGTCCAAAACTTCCTGATACCTCCGCTGAGGCACCAAAACCCCAACGGTTGTTATTATCGATCATTGCTATACTAATTGTGAAGCTTCACTGCCATTTCGAAGAGTGCGCCGAATCTTTTGTTGGGCTTAAGTTCCGGTCTGTCCTCGCAGGCCTGCAATCTCTCTCGTCGAGTGAACGATGGTTCCCTTGGACGCGTCGACGGGCAACCTGCTGTGGATCCTGGTGGTGGGCTTCATCCTCGCCTTCTTCCTGGCCTTCGGAGTGGGCGCCAACGATGTTGCCAACTCTTTCGGCACCTCGGTGGGCGCCAAGGTGCTCACGTTGCGGCAGGCCTGCATCCTGGCCACCATCTTCGAGATCCTCGGCGCCATCCTCATAGGCGAGTGCTATTTTGTCCATCTCGTGGCTGGCGGATTCAAATTGGACGATTGGGGATTCGTGCTTGACGTATACCGCACGGAACAGTGACTGGCGTAGACAATCATCTGAAAGCTTATTGTTCACAGACCGTATTTATACGTGACTATAAATTGACAGTCGCCGCTTGTCCCCGTCTACTTGTTGTTCTTGTTTTCTTCCGTGCAGTATACCTATATAGACGGATTCTAAACAGTGTGAACCTGCTACGGTTCTCTGGATATGGGCCCGTTGATGCGATGTCATAGCAAGGCTCGAATAAGTATACCGACCGTAATTAATAACACTGCGGCTGACTGCCTACGGTATACCATTTGCGGGCGGGCGATTGTTGGCGGCGCATAGTTCGTAGGTGTATTAACACGAACGTTACATGACACAAAGAATGTACCGGAAACGGGGCTGTTATACGACTAACAGTTTGTTTTAAGGCCAGCTTTTTGAACGATATGCTGTGTGATACTGATGGTCCCCTATAAATGTGCGAGCTGACCTAAAAACAAATCGTTGGTTGAAGTCAACACTCTGTCCTGTATCTTCTCAGTGTCTTGTTACTTTTGTTCTGCGATACCTATTAATTTGCCTGCGCTGTCTTGTGAGCGATGAAAGACGGCAAGAAAACGAGGAGAGTGCTGATCACGCATGCGTGCAGGAATTGTCTCGAAGGAGGGTGGAAGATTGGGTAGATTGGGCTAGTTGGTACGTATACTCCATGGTATAAGACGGTACAGCGCACTAAAAACCTTTCTTGTGTTTCTTGTGGTTTTCTAGTGCGCTCCAGCGTCTCATATATTTGTCTCGAAGCTGTACTTCTAACGTCCTATACAAGAGAACCGACTGCTATAGTTTGGACCGCGTGTTGTTGAACTTGTGAGAGCGTAATAACTATATGACGCAGTGTAAGAACAATAGAGGCTAGGACGAGTGCTGTCAAGTGCGCGAAGTCTGAACGGGAACTCGGGACTACTTGTCTTTTTTGTTCTTTGATGTCCGTTCTTGCTGTCGCGACATTTATACCGCCGTTATCCTGTCGGCCTATACGTTGCCTAATCTTGGGGAAACCGTTTACTGTGTTGTGTCACTTATGGTATAGTATGCTTCAAAGTTGTGTGGCTACTTCGTTTAACATCTTAACAAAGTTAACTGGTGAGAACACTGGCAAAAAACTATTCCCCCCATCCCCTCTTCCTTTTTTTCCCCTTTCTTGGGCGCACATTACATCTCGAGGGAGTCCGATGAGTTGTGCCTTTACAAAGCACAGTTTAAGGTGCACGGTTGCTGTTGTTATCAAGTGCTTTCGCCAGTGCGCATAGGCAGGCGCGATGTGAGTGTTATATATACCTCGTTAATATAACCGGCGTTAACGCACGCGTTAATGATTCTCTCAAAACTCGCCCACTGCGCGCGCATCCCAGCGGTTGCGTAGATACCCTCATCACCAGAGCGCGTCATAGGCGCGTCGCGCTTATACGAAGTGGTACTCATCTGTGCCCCCTTATACGAAGTTGTACCCTCTTTACGTGCACGTGGCGTCGCGGTGGTGTAGTTGGCTTATAGCTTTTAGACCTTAATAAATTGCGGGAAAACACGAGGACACTATTAATGATAAACACGCCGAGCACCACAAGCGCAGTATAGTGTTTTTCTTACATACCCTGGTCGCACTAGCGAATTTAGTGTCATTTTGAGCGAGCGCACTTAAGCTCTCAAATCGTCGTCCTCGCGGCGCGCTGCCACAAGAAAAAAATGTGTTTATTTTGGAAGTGATCGTAATGGCGATGGGTCACATGGTAGCGTGACAGGTATTTATTACTTCAAGCAACGTTTCCTAATTAATACTGCGTTACAGCTATAAGCAGCCCTTAAAATAAACTTCAAGTACAAACGTGCGCGGCGTGTGCGGGGCATCCTCCTGGCGGCCGTGGCTGCAAACCGCCTGAGAGCGACAGTACAGTAAAGTATGTTCTAGTGCGTAGCAACATTTCCGATAACAAAAACGATAGTTTAAACTCTTTAAACTGTATGCCATTGTCGGCTTTCGCTGATTTATTTTCGGGCCGCTGCTACCGATGCCTAGACGTTGCAGCGAAGCGAGTTTGGGCGAATTTGGCCAACGCACTCGCCGACAAGTGCTCTCTGCAGCGAGTGTTGTCATTAACCGTTCCCGTGTAATGACAGCGTGCGAATGAAGCTGGCGGCAAAGTGCGTTCCCTGCGCTCAAGTTGGCCCGTCTGTCAGGGGTTATTACTTGCGCACTTTGTCGTTTCGCGCGGTTTAATAACGTCTACGTGCTGATGAAAAACCCTTGAAACCAGGGGGGGTGATTGCTTGGGGCAACGTCACGCCAAGTGGCCTATAGCCTTCTTCAGGGCGGTGGTGATCATCGCATCCACGACAGTTGAGGCCTTGAAGAACACGAGATTACTTGTCGAAACTTTCCGCGATTCCTAATGCGACACTCCCTGCTTTCAAGTATTTTCGACCTCGTCGAGCCTCCGTCATGTCCTGAACTTTGTGGGCTATCGAAAGATCGTCGCTCTCTGAACAAACAGAGACAGTTGATGCGCTGCGGCAAACCGAAAACGTGTACATTTATTAACCTGCTTGTACAAACAAAAGACGATGTCGCTGTCCGAACCAGATAAATCACTGGTGACCCGGCAAACAACCTCATACAATATGCCAATACAATTTGTAAACATCATAACAAACATAGGGGGGTATACCGCGAATGCGGCGTTGCCAACGTTCGACTCGCAACGAACGACCCGCGGTGGTGTCCCCATGGGACCACCGCAGGAGACGTCTGCCGGCGCTCGTTGCCGAACCATATATAGGCTCGCTCCTGTTTACCTAGCCCCTCCGCCACAGCATCGCGGTGGCGCTACCGCGCTAACCCTATTAAGGTCCCTAGGTTAAACAAGTTGCTTTATCTATAGGGACCTTAAACTCTAAAACTCCGCGCGAATACAGGGCCACTTCTCGCTCGGTGGCTGTTAAACCTAAATCCCCCTAGATTTTCCAAAATCTAGGGACGTTTTATAGTTAAACCTAATCGTGGCTAATCCGCGAGACGCGCTGGTGCCACGAGGAGCAAACAACTTTACAGAGGCAGTGGTGTAGCCAATGGGTGGCACATCGAGCCCTTGCTCCCTCCCCCTCCCGAAATTTTTTCGTCATAGAATACTGAGTGAAAATTGACTACTTGTAAAAGGTGACGCCCCCCTCCTCCTCCTGTTTCCCAAGAAAATTTCTGCCTATACCCCTGTACAGCGGTTAACAGCACCCCAACTTCTGACAGCCCGTACGCAACTTAAGCCAGTGTCGATCGGGATCACAGCAGATCTGTGTTAGGCTCGATACCGATCAGGTGCTGCTACAGGGTCATTTGTAATCTCGATCACGCCGGATCGGTATCAAAACGGTCGCGATCTGTGCGTCCAGATCGCGGTTGGACCTGCGCCAAACTCTATCTTCAGTAGGCGCGGCGATTCTCGATCGAGAAATCTTATCTGGGTGTCTCCCGATCGTAACCGAAAGTGCCCATGTGGCACCGGTGCTTATAATAGAGCGCGTGGCAGATGGTCGTGCGGGCATTTAAAGCAGTTCAAGTTCGTGTCTTCTTCCTTCCACGCTAATCTCCGAATTAAACTCGTTGATTCAGATATATCACAATATTTCTTATCCGCATCTTTGTTATATTTTTTTTTAAGAGAGGGATCTTGATGGCGATGGCATAGTTCGCGAAAAAAACTGGGAACCAACGAGTTCGTGGAAATGCGAGTGCTTACGAGCAGGCCCTCGAGTGTGCGCCAGTCGCGTGCGTATGCGCAGTTTCCCTATGACTGGCGCCTTCTCCATCGTGAGCCTGTCCGCGATTGACTGTTCGTGGCGTCAAAATCTGATATTTTAATAAGGTGGTTTGTCACTTCACTTCGCCGCGTTTCCTTGTTGCCCTTAATTGTTGCATCTCATTGTTTCACGCGTATGACAGTTGTTCTTTTCTGTAGCAACGTAAATGTTGCGCTGTTAAGTCGCTCGGTAAAAATGCAATTGCGGGCATGCATGACGAAAAAAAAAAAAACAGGGAGCATTGCGCAGTTCGATAATTAAATTGAAGCACACACACTGTAAATTCCAGAGTGCGTTCGCTGAAAGCCTCTGGACATTTGACGGACTATGTCATTTGTTTTCTCTTTTAGGGGCGAAGCTCCTTATGGCGTGGCTTGTGCGTCCCTCGTAGTACGTAACCACCAGTGGCACATACCCGAAATAGGTATATCATTAGACCTCCAAGGTGGTGCCGGTGAGAGATTTCTTCTGTGCGTTGTTTAGCAATAAAAAATGGTGCTCAATGTAATGCCAATGGCTGCTAATGGGAAATGAGAGACAGGAGCATTCGGCTTTTAGTCAACGCGCACGCTGCGATCCCCATTAGCAGCCATTGGCATGTACATTGAGCACTATCGGACAAGAAAGGGTTGCTACATTATACTCGCTGGGTGTAACCTTCTTAGTTTTAGAAAGGTTTAGCGAGCGCTGAGCCGCAGGGCCATGAATACAATGAACTAGTATATACCATGAATGAATTCGAGGTGGTTAAAGGGAGGAAGCAGATACGAAGCGCAAGCCGTACAAAATTAAAAGCTGAATCATCCTGTCTCTCATTTCACATTAGCAGCCACTGGCATGTACATTGAGCACTATCTGACAGGAAAAGTTTGCTACGTCATACTCGCTGGGCGTAACCTCCTTGGTTTTTGAAAGGTTTAGCGAGCATTGGGCCGCAGTGCCATGAATACAGTGAACTAGTATATACCATGAACTCAAGGTGGTTGAAGGTGGGAAGTAGACCCGAAGCGCAAGCCGTAAGAAAGTGTGCGTGTGCCACCTCTCGTTTAGTCCTTGGAATGTCCGCTGGATGACGGTGCTTCTATATGGGGAATATATGATAAAAAGACG